CATAAGGCCTTGAGTTCAGTACTGCCCTCCCCCAGGCTAACAATAACTTAAAGTAATCAAGCTGCTCTCAGCTGCTGACAGAAGACAGAGCTATATAAAGGACATTCCTTATAGTCCCAGGGGCACAACAGATAGGAGAGAGATTTGACAAGTGGAACTACATCAAAACAAAATGTTTCTGCACAACTAAGGGCATAGTTATTAAACTAGAAAGATAGCCAACACTGGGGAAAGCTCTTTATCAGCAATATATCAGACACAAAGGCCTAATATCCAATATATACCAGTATATACTAATATCCAATATATACTAACCTCTCCCAATCTAATAAACCATCACTCAGTGGGCACGGGAGCTAAGGAGAGACTTCTCAGGAGAAGAGGTGAGAATGGCAAAGAAACACATGAGGAAATGCTCACCCTCCCTGGCCATAAGGGCAATGTAAATCAAAACAACTCTGAGATTCCACCTCATCCCTCTAACATTGGCCAACATTGTGAATTTGAACAACAAATGCTGACAGGGATGTGAGGAAAAAGGAACCCTATTACACTATTGGTGGGAATGTAAACTAATACAACCACTCTGGACAGCAGTCTGGTCTGGAGGTTTCTCAAAAACCTAAACCTAGACCTTCCCTACGACCCAGCCACACCACTCCTAGGCATCTACCCTGAGCATCACGAGCCAGGATCTGATAAAGACACCTGCACATGCATGTTCACTGCTGCACTGCTCACAATGGCCAGACTATGGAAACCGCCCAGATGACCCACAGGAGATGAGTGGGCCCCAAAATGCGGCACCTATACAAAATGGAACTTACACAGCCATTAGAACGAGTAAAATAACGTCACCCGCAGGGAGACGGGTGGAACTAGAACAAATCATGTTAAGTGAGGTAAGCCAAGCTCAGAGAAAGTAACAGCGGCACACATTCTCTCTGACATCTATGCACTGGGATATGATAAATTATATAGGATTCTAGATACTCACCCACAGTGAGACCAAAAGAGGACACTCTAGGAGAAAAATTCAAAGGTGCAATGCCTAAGTAACTTACTTATATAAAATAATATGCATCTTGTTTCCAAGATATGGAAACAAGAGATTTCTTTTTTATTCCTTTCTCTTTTAGTTTTTGATGATTATATCTTCTTTACACTGTATGTATGGTATATGCATGTGCGCATCTTTGGAAGGGTTGGGAGGAGGGTAAGGACTCAAGGGAAAAAGTGTGAAAAAGTGCAGCAGTGGAGCTCACTGGACACTGATGAAAGTGAACTATACAACTCTTGGGTGGAGATGGGAGTGAAGGACTGGGAGAGAGTGAGGGAACAGAAGGAAATGTACTCGTTACCTGACTCATGTAGTTGTAATCCCTCTGTATATCACACCTCTATAATACCAATGAATTAAATTAATTAATTAAAGAAAGGACATTCTGCTAGGTGGCAGTGGCTCCAAGCAGTGCCTGTAATCTTAGCTGCTCAGGAAGCTGGGATCTGAGGATCTTAGTTCAAAGCCAGCCCAAGCAAAGGAGTCCCCACGAGACACCCATCTCCAATCAACCTCTCAACAGCCACAAGCGCTCTATGGCAGCCTTCAAGAACACATGCCACATTCCTGGCTCTCCACTGCAGTTCAGTCGTCACCTTCACAACAACTTCATGTATTGCCTGGTCATGCACGGATTACATGTAGGGGCTCAGACTCTTTCACATATCTCCTGGCCTTTCAGGCCTTCCTTTGAAAGCTTGGATGCCCTGCCCAGTACCTTGCATTTGGTATGCCTCCACACGTGTACAGGATGCCAAGGGCTACAGCCAGCCTGAGCAGCAGCCTGGCCCAGGCCCCTTAGAGCACGGGTAGAACAGGCTCTAGGTGGCTGGGTTCTGAGCACAGTGAAATGAATCTCAGGAAACAATTTCGTAGGTGGCCTTGTGCAAGAAGGATGTCCCAAGATGCTCTCTTCCATGGTAAAGTCTTTTTCCATAAGTTGAGTCATGCTGCGGTGGGTAGGGCCTTACAGACTCCTGAGATGCCCGCAAGGCATTTTTCTATGGTCCAATGTACAGTGCTAGGCTTCTTCTCCTTTTTATT